GGAGTGATCTATGCCTACTTTGTACATTATACTTTTTTCCTGGCCTAGTCCAGGTCATACGCCTTCCTTCAGGAAGTCTTCCTGGCAACCTCTGTTCTCGTCACTTTTTCTTAATCACTGTCACCATCACAGCCCACCTCCCGCCGTCACCACCACCTTTGGGTCCCTGTGCTCTCTGGCTTCTGTTCCTTGTGTGTCTGTTTTCCCCACATAAATAAGAAGCACTGGGAGCTCAGGGACCTCACCCATGATCTTTCTGTCCTTCTCCCCAAGTTAGCCCGGTGCTGGCTGCACAGGATGTGTTCCATGAATATTTTTGAACACTTAATCAATTGATCCTTTGGAGTCAAATATAAGTTAAATTTTCATGCAGAGTCGAGCCAAGTTTTACAAGCTTTTTGGGCCCTTTTGAAAGCACATTTCCCCACTTGATGACCTGGCTAGGCTAGAGTTAATAAGGTACTCTTAAGCCACAGTTTAAAGCCTGTCATTATATTGCTTGTGATCATTTTTAAAATAACGTCTTTTTAAACTAATAATCAAATCATATGTTCCTGGAAGAGTACAGGAAGTAAATAAACATCATTTGTAATCCCATCAATTAAAATTGATTACTAATATTACTTATTTATTCTACATTCAATAACTACTTACTAAATATCTATTTTGTTCCAGGCACCATGCTGAGTTTTGGGGGTGCAGCAACCCATATTTTGATATAATTTTTATTTATTTTTAACATAGATTTTTGAGTACATAATATACAAATTTACCTTATATGCCATCTTGTATTTTGCTTTATATAGTTCATGCTGTCCCAGCATGTTCTCATACACTATCTTTAAAACACGATTTTAATTAATCAGCTGCCCAATACCCCATTTTATGGATGTGCCACGATTTCTTTAATAGTCACCACCCCTACACTTAACCCACTTTTAAAACACCCCTTCTGTGGCCCAATAAACTAGCTGGAGAGCAACAACAAGCATCAACTTCAAGGTGACACCCAGACCTCCTGGGGCGTGTGAGTCAGAGCTGGGGTCTGGGTTTATCGGGGCGTTCACGTGGGCTGGCCTTTGGGTGGGGCTTTTAAAGATAAATTCCAAGGTCAGACCATGACTGTCTCTCTGCAAACTGGTGAGAGGGCTAGACTAGAGCAGAAACAAGGGGACTCAGCACTGGCCATCCAGGGGTCACCCTGACCTGGGGGCAACTAGGGAGAGCTGACCTCTCAGGGAAGAATCCCTGAGGTGTATCTACACTTGGCTCTGAGCCACAGGAACCATCTAGAGCTGAAGACACTGTGCAAGGACTATGTCCAGTGGAGGGACAGGAAACAGGTTAGGGGGACCCCCTCACCCATTCTAGACTAAGACAAGAAGTGCACTTTGAATCGAATTAGACTGTCTTCTGATTTTTCCGGCTCCTGCGGCCTCACCCATGCTGGCGGTGGACTGGGGTGAGGTGGGTTCTATTTTCTGGCTGTGTGCCAGCGACCAATTTGTCTTCCTGGAAATGACCTCAGGGCCCATGGATGGCTGTAGCTAGACATGTTGTGGGTCCAGAAGAAAAGGGCTGGTTGCCAGGGGAGTCCCTGTCGTGTGGTCGTGTGCCGGATTCTGGATTAAGAGGTTTAGATGGGTTATCTAAACCCTCCTGTCATCGGCCTTGCCTGGGAAGGCGGCTTCATCTATTCACTCATTTGATGAGCATTGTTAGAGCACCAATGATGTATAAGAAACACTCTCGGAACTCGGTTGTGGTAGCCGATAAGTCATATGGTCTGCTCCCACGCAACTTGGAGTCTAGTCTGACATTTTTGCTCCCTTTATTCAGAGGAGGGAACTGAGGTCCCAAGAGGTCAAGAAAGTTGCTTGCTCACCCAGCCGGCCCTGGCAGAGCCAGAAGAGGAACTGCGTCCTGAGTGGCTCCAGCCCTCCGGCACTTCCACGCTCTCCCAGGCCCTAGGAGGGCTGTTCCCTGGTGCGCGCCCATTTTGCCCGTTGCATCCATTAAAGAGGCAAGCTTGACTCAGGTTGCCTGTGGCTCATTCTGATTCAGCGTGACTGTGGAGAGAGCTGGACAGACTCCCTCCCGGCTAATGAGAGGCAGTGTGCTAACTGGGCCAGGGCTGGGCCTGTACCCTGACATCATCCTGGAGCAGGTCCGCAGGTGAGTGGGTGGCAGAAGTCGGGGCCTCCCTTAGGTGTTTATAGGCACGGGCCCAATTGTGGAGGCCGTGAGACTGGCAACAAGGGGTGAAGCCCGGGGCATGCAGGAGCGGCACTGTTCTAGAAGCTGGGTTCCCACCGCCTCTGCTCACACACGTTGACTTCCCATCCAGGCCCCAGAATCCGAGGTGGAACATTCTCCTTGAGGGTACGGCTTCTCTCGGAATTGACCCACCTGTTCCTTTGTTGACATAAACAACAGTTCTTCTGTACCAGGTAATTATGGAGTGACTGTGCCATATTTGGGGATGCCTTGGACGGTGGCAGTTTTTAAGTGTGTGCCAGCTCACGGCCCCTCAGCCCCCTGATATGGCAGTCACTGTGTTCTTGGCGTGTCCAGAGGGCACGTTGGAGGGGAATGTGAGGAGAAGGATCAGATCAGCCAGTTCAGGAAAATTCCTAGTTCTGCCCTAAATTTACTGTCGGCTTGAACTCCCAGAGGGATGGTCCTGTACCGGTGTGGGCGTTGAGAGAGCTCCTCTCAGCTTGGGGAGATGGCAAGGTGGGGAATCCCAGCACAGCCCTGAGCCCAAGCTGAGTGGTTGAGCCCCCTGGAAATGGGGTTTTCTTGGGGAAAGAGGCTGCCCGTGCTTCGAGCTTGCTGCCCCACACGTGTGCTTTCCTGGTGCTGCTGTCAGAGCAGATGTGGGCAGCTGCCTGCTCTTCAGAGAGATGGTGTTATTTCAACATGGTGGCCAGGAGGCCAGCGTTTCACCCAAAGCTGAGCCCACAAGGGCTATTCCTCGGGGGAAAGCTGAAAACTGCACCTCTTTCTCGGTCCCCAGAATTATTGGCTCTTACTTGTCGTTATGGGCTCCCGGAGGGCAGGGCTTCTCTGTTTACCTGTTTCCCGGCACGTGGAAGCTACTCATTACAGGTCTGTGAATTGGCAAAGGATCTTCCTGAAACAGGCAAGGGAATGTTGGCAACGTGCTCTGCTCCCAACAGAAGAGAGAGAAGGTGGGCAGGAACCCTCCGCCACTTGCCTTTTGTGAGGAAGCTTTCAGACATCAGGGTCCCAGCTGTGGGTCTTGTGGCAGGAGTGCCCAATGGTTCGGAGCGTGGGTTCTGGGATCAGGCAGATCCAGGCTCAAACCACCACCCTGCACCGCCGCAAGGAAGTCACTCACTGCCTCCCTGACTCACTTCTCAGTTTCCCCACATCTGAGATGGGAGTGCTAAAACCGGCCTCCTGGGCTGAGTGGGGAGAAGACGGCTTCCTTGTGTAAGATGCTTCGCTCTGGGCTTGACGCCCACAAGACTACAAGCCATGTCAGCCACTGGTAGCCTCAGGGGGGACCCTCTGAAATTGCCACTGTTCAACCATTTTTTATCTATAAGATGGCGATTTCTCATGGTTCAAGCTGACATAGTCATTCCATTGTCACTGCCTGGGAGCTGCAGTGTGGGACTGGGTTGTGCTGAGGCCCCTTTGCAGCCCCCTCCCCCTGCCCAAGGAGCCAGGTTCCAGCTCAGCCCTACACTGGAGATGGAGGTGCCTGCACGTTTACTTCCTCCAGCTCTCTTTTTGTCAGGTGAAGAGACAGACCCCAGGGAAGGAGGTTCTTGCCCAAAGAGACACAACCTGTTGGGAGTGGACCCAGAACCAGAATATAGTTTTTGGCTCCTAATTCAGCTCCCTTTCCACTACTTCAGTCCAAAGCTGCTGCCGCGTTTGGAGCCAGTGCTGGGTCCAAGTGTGCCAGGTGCTTGAGCATCACTGGAAATCAATAGGGTGCACGAAGATGGCATTTTCCAGAACTCCCCTCAGAGGCAGCATTGCATGTAGTTAGAAGTGTCTGGAGTGCCAGCTCTGACACTTCTGGCTGGGGGAGCCCAGTTTCTCCTCTGTACAAATGGGATAATGGTAGTGTTGTCTTCATGGGGGTGTCACAGGGATTAAATGAATACATATTTGTGAATCTTATTGTAAATAATACGATTTGTAAATACAATTTCCAAAAATTTTTAAAATGTTGTAGAGCATTTGGTGAGGGTCACTTAAATGTTTGCTATTATTACTATGAAGACGTTCGGGGATTGGTATTACTGGTGGGTATGTGAGTTTGGGCCAGCACTGAGTCACAGAATAGAAAAGAGCCCTCTAGAATGGACTCTGAGGCCCCCTTTTCCTCCACCCCGTGCTCTCCTGTGCCAGCTGTGGCCCTAAATACACATGAGACAAATATTTAGACTAGCGGCCTGTGGGGACTGGGGTTAACATGCTTTATTCACGAAGCATCCCCCGTTCCTAGAACAATGCAGGGCACAAGGTAGGAACACAATAAAACTTTGCTATGTGAATGAATAAATTTGTCCTCACCCTAAAGGCGACAGAGTCTAAAGGAGGACTCTGGAAGACAGTCACAGGTGCTATGGAAATCAATTCGGAACACTTTAAACTTGGGCATTCTCAAATCCTCGCCAATATGAATTCTCAAATCCATGTCATATGAATTCTGTTGCTTCTCAACTCTAAGAGCCGGGCTCCTCTCTTGGTTGTCACTGTTTCTGCTTCTCCAGGCTTTTATTATATCTCACCTAGAAAATTGCAATAGACTCACCTCCTGCCCCACCCCCCACCCCCTGAAGCCAAAAGAGGGACTCCCTAAAAAATAAATCAGGTTAGATCAGTCCCTTGCCTAAAAACTTTTGAAATCTCCCTGTTGCCTCCAGGCTGAAAAGATGCTCACCATCACTAGTCATCAGGAAAATGCAAATTAAAGTCACAGTGAGACAACACTTCACACCCACTAGAATGGCAATCATCAAAAAGATACGCTAACCAGAGCTGAAGAGGATGTAGAGAGACTGGAACCTTCACACACAGCTGGTGGGAACGTAACATGGCGCAGCTGATGTGGACATAGTCTGGCAGCTCCTCAAAGGATTAAACACAAAATTACCACGTGACCCAGCCATTCCACTCCTAGGTAAATGCCCAAGGACCTAAGTAACCCCTTGATCAATTTTCTAGAGAACATTGTTGGGCTGAATCTTTCTCCCTCATTTTCATTTCAATTTTGAATCATATTTGATTCTTTCCTATCTACATGTCACAAAGTTTCAGCTTAGCCACGTTGTATGGCTACCAAGCCCTACCTTCTTGGACTACCGTTTGCAAGCCGAGATTTTATCAGGACAACAGTTCTCCCTCCCACGTTTAGGCAGCTGCATGTCTTTACCTCATGCGGCATTTGCCCTTGTTAGTTTTATTTTGTCACATTGTCCGAACAATAATGTTCATTATGGATCGAATGAAATACTGATAGACTGCATTTATTTCTCAAATGTTAAATAAGTTTTAAATAGATAATAATGTACATGGCGGGGAAAAATGCAAGCAGTAGGAAAGGGTATCGAGGGGAGAGGTTGTGTGCCGCTTAGGGAAGTATCAGCAGACCCACAGGAGCCCTGGACCTGAGCTGGCCCTCAGAGCACCTGAGTTAGGACAAGGAGGCCCAGTCTTTATGTTCCAGGCAGGCCAGCTGTCAGATGCAGCCCTTCCTGGGGCATGACCAGGAAGAAGTTCTTTTCAGCCAGAGTCCGTCCTGTCCCACCTGCTCAGGTCTGACAGCTGAGGGCCACCTGCTCTGCAGCCAGCAGTCCTTGAAGCTGGGGTAAGTACCCCGGAAGGGGACCTGGTGAGCCCAGCACAGACACCATTGTCATGCATTAACACCAAGTTATCTCTGGCCTTCCCTAACCTTTTTGGCCAAATGTTTATCTTTTATTTTTATTTCTTGTCCCTCTGAAGGACCCTTCCAGCTGGGGTGAGCTGTCAAGAGCCTCTCTCTCTTCCATTCCAGACGCCCACTCCCTGCCCCAGGGGTGGAGCCCACGCACTCCAGGACAGCTGGGAACTTAACCTCAGGCAGCTTGGGGAGGAGAGCCTTGAGAATTAAGGCTTCCCCCCCCTGCCCCCCCATTTTTTGTTTCTGGTTTTTGGGTTTTTTTGTAAGGCAACTTTCTAGGGCTGTGGAGTTATTAAAAGCTCCCATGTGTTATTTTCTGGCAGTTGGACAGCTGCAGAATGCCACTTGGCAAGCACTCCTATCCTACCCAAGGTTTAGCATTTGATTGATGTGATGGGTTTGGCAAAAACAGTTGAAGGTTATCACAAATTTGTCTTAACAGGGTGTATTAGCTTATAATAAAAATTCAATACAAAATACGCTTTTCCAAATAAATACCCCTCCCCCAATGGCTCCTGGGCAGAATGCTGCAAAGCTCCTTGGGAGGCCTGTGCAGAACTAGTAGACAGGGCTTAGAAGGATGAACCCCATGTAGAAGAAGGACAGGCCACCCCAACCTCGACTGGCTCGCACATGGGGTAAGCACCCCCTGCCTGGGAGGAAGTCCCACCCCATCTCAGGACGTGACTGAGGGCACTGTCCTTCTCTTCCTGTGCCTCCCCCAGGTCCCATGGCGTCCTGCCCTGTCCTGCAGAAGGAGACAGTGTTCCAGTCCCAGTCGGGAGCTCACGCCTACAGAATCCCTGCTCTGCTCTACCTGCCACAGCAGAAGACCCTGCTGGCTTTCGCGGAGAAGCGGCTGAGCAAGAAGGATGAACATGCAGAGCTGGTCGTCCTGCGCAGAGGAAGCTATGACGTGTCCACCCACCAGGTCCGGGTAAGGCAGGATGAGGTTACCACCGGGAATATGGGGACCACGCCCTCCTTAGATGGCTGGGGTCTGGGGGACACAGGGAAACCCAAGAGGGACCCAGGAACCTGTCAGATGGGGCAGAGAAGGCACCATTGAGTGGTCACCTGGATCGCATATGGGCTCACTGTGCACACGTCCAGGTGGCCTGGCTGCCTCGGAGTCATTGCATGACTGGACAGGTCAGTCAGGAAAACTGATGTTCAGAAAGGTTTCCCTATGTGATTGTGAAACTGAGAGAGGACTAGTTTAGTATCACGTGACCGGGAGGTTGTACTCTGAGTAAAGTTAACCTGGGGTGTGGGGCTGGGGTTGGTTGGAGTGATGGCTCATGTCCTGAAGTTCCAGTGTGTAGATCGAGTAATTAATTTTGACAAAGACACCCAAGACTGGCTTATCACATGTGAAGGGTATAATAAGGTTATTATCATTACTTGTGGTCATTATTACATAGTAGCTGTTCAGAGCCTGGGGTTTGAAGCCGATGGACCTGCATTCAAGTCCTGGTTCTATCATTTCCCAGAGGTATGGCCTTGGGCAACTCATTTGCCTATTAAGCTTCTTATTCCCCAGGTGTAAGGTGGAGCTAATAGCACCTGTCCCCCAGGAGTTAAGGGTTAGGGTAGATGAGACAATGGATGTTAGGCTTTTGACACAGTGTCTGCCCTTAGAATCGCCCACTGGGGGATAGCTGTTAATGAATGGGGATAGAGGGCAGGGCTGCAGCACATATGACTAGACTTGGGATTATGGAAACTCAATGTGAGTCCTTAGGGTCATGCTGCTGCCCACTCCTAAGCCGCATTAATAGAGCATGATGTATACAAGATGGGAGGTGATTGTCATATTCTGTCCCACACTGGCCATACTACTGTAGTTACTACTAGGGCTTTACTTTTCAAGAACCGGAAGCTGGACGGGGCTGGCAAGTTGAGGGGAACCAGGGTGAAGCTGAGAATGGCTTGTGCCTGAATCGCCTTTGCATCTTGAGGTCTAGCCTGTCCTAGGTGCTCTGTAATACATGTTGGTGGGAATGGAGGCAGCAGCCAGTGGAGAAGAGTGGGCTGCCTTGGAGGGAGAGGGGGAGCATGGCTCCCACAGCTCTGGGGGGCGTTATCAGGGTGAGTGAACGATCTTGGACCAACAGTTCTCCACGACCTTTGATCCTAACCCCACGAGAGCCCCCCTCCCCCAGAGTGCAGCTCCTGTCACTGTCACTGGTCATTTCAAGGCAGGGCTTCTCCTTCCTCTCTCCTCACATTCAGTGGCACGCTCAGGAGGTGGTGGCCCAAGCCCAGCTGGAGGGCCACCGGTCCATGAACCCTAGCCCCTTGTATGACGAGAAGACGGGGACCCTCTTCCTCTTCTTCATCGCCATCCCCAAGCAGGTGTCCGAGCACCACCAGCTCCACACGAGGGTCAACGTGACGCGGCTCTGCCAAGTCACCAGCACCGACCACGGGAGGTCCTGGAGCCCCGCCAGAGACCTCACCAGCTCTGCCATTGGCCCCGCCCACAAGGAATGGGCCACTTTTGCGGTGGGCCCAGGACACTGCCTGCAGCTGCACAATGAGGTGCAGAGCCTGGTGGTACCAGCCTATGCCTACCGGAACGTGCACACCCACCAGGGGCCTCGCCCCTTCGCTTTCTGCTTCCTCAGCCACGACCACGGGCTCACATGGGAAAGAGGCAACTTTGTCGCCCCGGACACCCTGGAGTGCCAAGTGGCTGAGGTTGGGGGTGCAACACAGAGGGCGGTGTACCTGAACGCTCGAAGCCTCCTCCGAGCCAGAGTCCAGGCTGAGAGCACCAACGACGGGCTCGATTTCAGGGGGACCCAGCCAGTGCGGAAGCTGGTGGAGCCTCCGCCCCACGGCTGCCACGGAAGCATCGTTAGCTTCCCCAGCCCCCGCAAGGGGTCAGAATCCTTGGACAAGTGGCTCCTCTACACTCACCCGACCGACCCGCAGCAGAGATCCAACCTGGGCGTCTACCTGAACCCGCGGCCCCCGGCCCCCGAGGCCTGGTCCCAGCCCACCCTGCTGGCCAAGGGGAGCTGCGCCTACTCGGACCTCCAGAGCCTGGGCACTGGCCCCGATGGCTCACCCCAGTTTGGGTGCCTGTACGAATCGGATAATTACGAGGAGATTGTCTTCCTCACGTTCACCCTGAGACAAGCCTTCCCAGCTGAATTTTCACCTAACTGAGCCCCTCACATGTTGCTCAAAGGCTCCTACTGGCCTGGAGCCCCCTTTCTTGGCCTCCCAACTGAGAGGCCGATGGGCTTGCCTCTGGACTTGCAGGTGGCCCTTGGTTCCCATCACTGAAAGTGTGATCCTGCCTCTTGTCCTCCTTTGTTGTTTCATCTTCTCAGGATTCTATTTTCAGCCCAGAAACTGAAGGAACCTAACTTTGGGGAGCCCCTTGAGGGCTGGCCCAGGGAGCTCTGTGCGGCTCCGTCCGCCTGCTCCCCTGGCCACCAGCTTCTGTGCAGGTCCTGCTATGTTATCTAGTACCTCCCATTTCTCCTTGGGAAATGCTCATTGTGTTTGCCAGGGAGATATGTAAATTAGTAGAGGGCGTGTGTGTGTGTGTGTGTGTGTGTGTGTGTGTGTGTGTGTGTGCGCCCGGGCACGCGTGCTTGGTAATGCTTTACAGCAGACAGTGAGGAGAACAGCTTTGCAAGGAGGTAAGGCAGGGTCTGGGAAAATTAAGCTAGTTTAAGTCATTGGGTCAGCTTCCCAAAGATGCCATAACAAATTACCACAAACTTGATGGCTTAAAATAACAGGAATTTCTCTCACAGTTCTGAGGGCTGGATGTCCAAAATCAAGGTGTCTTGAAAGGCTGTGCTCTCTCCCAAAGCTTTAGGGTAGAATCCTTCCTGGCCTCTTCCAGCTTCTGGGGGCCCCAGGCATTCTTTGGCTCATGGTTATATTACTTTAATGCCTCTGTCTTCAAATGCCCTCTTTTTCCTTCTCCTGTGTTTTCTCTTCTGTCTCTTAGCAGGACACTTGTCACTGCATTTAGGGCACACCTGAATAATCCAGGGTGACCCTTCACTTAGTTACATCAGCAAAGACTCTTTTTCAAATAACCTCACAGATTCTGGGGGTTAGGACATGGATATGTCTTCTGGGGGACACCATTCCGCCCAGCGTAGTCATAATAAGTTATTTTTGTATAGGCGATGTGGCTAAAGGTACAAATGGAATTCAGATGAATCAGATCATTCAGGATAATGGAGGGGGCGGCAGGGGTTGAGCTGTTCGATGTGCTGCTCTGGGCGCTCAGTCTTTGTGGTAACAGGTATGTCACCAGGAGGAGGCAGAGAGCGGGAGGGGATGCAGTGCCTGTGTAGGTCTTGCCATATGGAAAGAGCAGGGAGAAGGCTGTTCCCCAGTTGTCCTGAGGGTGACAAACCGAGAAGGGACCTGGCCTGAATGAAGGAGGCTGACAGCTCTCTGACCTCTGGGGTCTTTGGGAGCCTTTGTCACATGTCCCTGTGGAAGAGTGGGCTTGCCTCCTGCCCCTGGTCAGAGCCCCTCTAATCAGCTCTCCTAATGACTGGGTCAATCTAGCAGTTTGATGATGGGGCAGTGGGGGGATCAATGACAACAGCCCCGGGTGGCTGCATTTGAGCTGTGTCTTTGTGTGGCCAGGCAGTGGTTAAATGGAATTTTCACAGCGGGAGCTGGAGGTGTGGCTTTGGCTCTGGGTGTGGCTCCTGGCGCTGGCCTCCCATCTGGGTGCTACTTCTCCTTGTGGGGTTTTGCAAGACCCAGCTGGAAGGATGAGGAATTAGGACCTGGTCATTGCTAGAATGGAAAGTTGGGCCCCTCTGTTTTAGGGATGCCCACCTGGTGTCTTTCAAACCCCACAAGGGTAGCTGGCGGGGGATGGGGGGCTGAGGCTGAGTCAGGAGGGTGAGGACAAGGGCATGCAGGCAGGGGCAGTGCGCCCTCAAGATAGAGGGTCCTATAGTGTATCATCATCCAAACTGGGACACTTCTGTGAGTGAAAGGAGGATGCTATTAAGAGTTACACCAAGACAATGGGCATTAACCAGGACTGTCCCAGGCAAACTGAGAGGTTTCAGAGAGAAGGACCCACTGAGGATTGTGTCAGGGGCTGGTCTCCATTAAGCACCTGGAAGAGAATCAATAATCTGTTAAGGATCTTGAAATGAACAGGAATAGGATGGGGCATCTGGTCACTGCCAGGCAGAATGTTGCTCTCTTACACGCCCTCCAGTCACGGCGGCCGATGGGTCTCAATTCCAACTGCTTGTTAGGATTCCCTGGGGAGCTTTTAAACCATGCAGATGCCCGGACCCCACCCCTGACCAACTGATTCATAATCTCTGGTGGTGGGGCCCAGGCGTGGGTGTTTTTTCAAAAACTCCTCAAGTTATTCTAGTGAGCATAAGGCTCAAGAACCGCTGGCAGAGGTGATTTTTAAAATTCCTTCTAGTTCTAAATGTATGCAAATGCCAAAGTCTTCTGATTTGAATGAAAAAAATAAGAGATAGTTGATTTGATTAAAACTGAACTGGTCTCTTCAAAAGATACACTAAGAGTGAAAAGAAAAGCCGTAGATGGGGAGAAGATATTTATTATACAGATATCTGACAAAGAACTTGTATCTAGAATTATAAAGAGCATCTACAAACCAATAAGAAAAAGACAATCCAAGAAAAATGGGCCAAAGGCTTGAACAAACACTTCACAAAAGAAGATACCCTAAAGCAGCGGTTCTCAACCTTCCTAAGGCCGCGACCCCTTAATACAGTTCCTCATGTTGTGGTGACCCCCAACCATAAAATTATTTTCGTTGCTACTCTATAACTGTAATTTTGCTACTGTTATGAAATGAATCGTAATGTAAATATCTTTTTGTTTTCCGATGGTCTTAGGCGACCCCTGTGAAAGGGTCGTTCGACCCCCAAAGGGGTCACGACCCACAGGTTGAGAACCGCTGCCCTAAAGGCTGTTAAACACATCGTCATCAGGGAAATGCAAATGAAAACCATGAGAAACCCACTAGAATGACTAAAATTAAAAAGATTGACAACAGCAAGTATTTGCAAAGATGTGAAACAACAGGAACTCTCATACATTTCTGGAGGAAGTGTAACTGGTGCAAACACTTTGAAAAGCTGTTTGGCAGTATCTTCCCAGGCTGAACATGCAAATACCGTATGACCCAGCACTTCCCCTGCGAAGTATTCGTCCCAGAGAGATGCATGCAGATAGCTGCCACAGACACAGATGAGAAGGTTTACAAAAGCTCCATTCATCAGAGTCCCAAACTGGAAACAACCCAAATGTCAATCAAAAATAGAATGGATAGGGCCGGCTGAGTGGTTCAGTTGGTTAAGAGCTCGCTCAAGAGTTTGAGCTCTGAGCAACAGCAGTTCGAGTCCCGGCCCGAGCTGCGCAGCCACTGAGCTGCCAACAGGTAGCAGGATGGCTCAGCTAAAAACAAAACAAAACAAACAAAAAAAAAATAGAATGGATAACTAAATTGCGGTGTATTCATGCAATGGAATATTACACAATGCTAAAAGAATGAACTACTGCTGCACACAATAGCATGGCTGATTTTCAGATGTTATGTTGAGTGAAAGAAGCCAGGGTCAAAAGCAGACATACTTGATGATTCTATTTACCGGTATATGACGTACAAGAACAGGCAAAAGCAATCTGTGGTATACAAGTCAGGATAGAGGCCAGTTTCGGTGGAGGAGTGCTATTCACTGGGGAGGGGCAAGGAGGAGGCTTCCCGGTGCTGGAAATGAGCCAGTGTTTGACCTGGTGCTGGTCAGGAGGGCGCATCCATGTGGAAACACCCCATGAGCTATACACAAGGTGTGTGTGCCTTACTGCATGTATGTTGTACCTCAATAAAATAGAAAAGGAACTGAGTAGTGGATTTTCTGGTGAAACCTCCAAATCAATAGGTTCTATTGGGTCACAAAATTTTGGAACTGAATTTTTTAAATAAGCTTTTCGGGGGAATAATTTTAGATTTACAGAAAAGTTGCACAGATAGTGTGGAGAGTTCCCATACACAACACACCCAGTTCTTCCTAGTGTTAGCATCTTACATAACTGTGGCACACTTGTCAAAACTAAGAGATTAACATTGGAACGTTACTATTAACTAAACTCTAGACTTTATTCTAGACAGTTTTCCCCCGCTAATGTCCTTTTTCTGTTCTAGGATCCAATCCAGGATATATTTAGTGCATTAAAAACTGAATTTTTATTACAATTTGTGTCCACATACCCACAGATTGACACACAGTTCCAGTAGCCCTGCCCCACACCCTCCACCCACCTTCCCCTAAAAACTTGTCAAACAAACAAATAAATAAGCAAACGCCAAGATTGGGAGCTTCAGGCCCAGACTGCTGGATTGCAAATGTCAGATATAGTTCAGACTCTGAAGGCTCAGAAAGATACACACACCACCCCTCCAAGTCTGACACCAGAGCTCCGGGTCTAGGCTGAGGCACACTGGCCAGTTTTGAGCCCAATGCCACTGCGTGGGACATCAGGAGCTGGTGTGGAAAGTGTGTGTGTGTGTGTGTATGTGTGTGTGTGTGGTGTGCGAGTGTGTGTGTGTGTGTGTGTGTGTGGTGTGTGTGTATGTGTGTGCGTGTTCATGCATGTGTATGTGGGGTGTGTGTGTGTGTGTGTGTGTGTGTGGTGTGATGTACATGGTCCACTGCCTGGCCCAAGCTGGAAGGAGGCTGGTGGGGCAGCTCTGCTCTGTACTCTGCCTGATGACCTGACAATCAGGGTGGAGCAGGGCAGCCTGACCCCACCAGCACACTCCCCTTAGCACAGAGTGGGGAGAACTTGGAGCTCCAGGTCTAGGGAGCCCCCTTCATCCTGGTCCTTGCGGGTATTTGACTCAGGGTTGTTACCAGCACTGAGGAGTCAGAGCTCTTGTCACCATTAGGGACCCCCAGGATGAGGGTCATCATTTCCATCACATCCCCACCCGTTTCCCCTTTTTGCTCAGTCCAGGCATCTGATGGCTCATGGGAAATACAGTGGAGTATTGAGAGCTACATGCTGTGGTCTCACCCATTGCCACATGCATTGCAGAGACTTTTCAGAAATGGTCTGCTAAGGACCCTGGGAATAGATCAGGGTCAGTGACATGGCCAAGGCCACCTTTCCCACCATGAATCCAT